TTGGGTTCATTGACCCAAACACCGTTAATGAATACACATGGAAAATAGATGCACGTCATCAAAAGGCCGTAGAGGACAGCATGCTAGAGTTCTTGAAGCGCCTCAAATACAATGAAGATATACTACTTCCTTACAACTTCCAGTGAGTCACACTGTCTTGTACTACAAATTCTCTGTTTTTGCCTACTAGCTAGCTACATGTTTTTGCTTACATATGTCCGCTTAATTAAGACATGCAAACATGTGTGCATGCAGATTTCACTGGGTCTTGTGTATCATTAAAGTTGACGCCAGAACAGTTGAAATACTGGACTCACTACTCAAAGAAAAAACTGACTATAACATCTTGTTTGGGATAGTCAACAGGTAATTTCAATCATTATTAACTATATATCTCGGCCTATTTAGTTCATCATTTCATGATATGAACTATTTAATAACCCCTTTATTCATTTTCTTTGTCGGCGGGCAGGGCTTGGGCAAGGTTCATCAGCGTCACGGAAGGCGAATGGAAAGAAAAGCTTAAATAGGGAAGACCCAAGGTAAGTAATTAAGTAGTACTAGCTAGCTAGCTAGCTGCCATCTCTTTAATTATCATGCTTGATTAATTATTATCTGATCAAATTCCATTCTCGTAAAGGCCCTGAAGCAGGCGCAGGGGACTGATCTGTGTGCATGCTGCATTTGCGAGAACATTCGCATGATGGCGTCCGAAAGGAGCAGATCTCAAAGACAGGAATGGGTACGCTTGTCAAAACACTATTCACAATTTTTACACCATTATCGATATCTAGTCACACAACTAATACACATGCATATTGATCTCCTTCTTAACAGTTCAGAGAGGTGCGGGCGAAGCTCCTAGAAACGGAGCGCGTAGAAGCACTTCAAGAGGAAATAGCGGGATTTTTGCTCGACCAGGACATAAATCCGAAGGGAGAATACTATTACCCGCTACCGCCCCCATGAAAACCACTTCCAATTGTCATCGTGCTCCGAAGGCACCAATTAGGCTAATGCCACTGGCTCCGAAGGCAACATGCATATGTAGGAGAAATTGTATATAGCTATACATGTGTGTATGTGTGAATTAATTAATATGATGGTTGAGACATTGATGATATATATATGCATGATTGGTTCTACTAGAAATTCTATTTATATATATATATATATATATATATATATATATATATATGCATAACGTGTACAATGTGTAGTATCGTAAAATACCAGCAAACGAAAAAGAATTAAAATGGAAACACAAAATTAAATGAAAAAGAAATCATAAAACTAAAAACCCCCCAAACCTTATAGTACCGATTGGTCTTACCAACCGGTACTAAAGGGCTCCAGGCCCCTGGAGCTAGCTCGTGCCACGTGGTTTCCCTTTAGCACCAGTCCGTGCTGAACCGGTACTAAAGGGGGGGGGGGCTTTAGTGCCCACACTTTAGTGCCGGTTATGGAACCGGCACTAAAGGGCCTTACGAACCGGTGCTATTGCCCGGTTCTGCACTAGTGTACCCTTTGGTTCCTAGGTGTATATACACCTGATGTGGAATAAAAATAAAAATTAAATTCAAAAAGGTTCAGAAGTTTTTCAGAATAAACTTGACTTTCTTTTGCACTAGCATATAAATTTTCATGAATAAAAAACCAGTCTTGTCTTCAGGACAAAACATATTTTTTTGCTAATATAGATCACTATTCATACTATTTTGACAAAAAAAATTAAACAAAGTCAATAGGGTTTTTCCTTTTTGTGGAATTTTTTACAAGTATAATGGAAGGTCAAGTTTATTTTAAAAATATTTTCATATTTTTTTTGAATTTTTGTGTAATTACTACTCCCTCCATAAATTAATACAACAGCATTTAGAACACTGAAGTAGTGATCTAAACGCTCTTATATTAGTTTACAGAGGGAGTAATATTTTTACATATACGGTGTATATACACCTATAGACCAAACGTCCCTGTCCCGAGAAGGGATAGATAGAAACGGCTGCCCCATTTCATTGTTTGGAGATGCCCTTAGAGTAATAAGTACAATATGGTGATATAAGCAGGATATAAGGATTATAATACTCCCTCTAATTATAATTAGTTGACGCAACTATAATACAACTTTGTACTAAAGTTGCGTCAATTAATTTGGATAGGAGGGAGTATAATACAAAGTTGTATTACAGTTGCATTAATTTGGATTGGAGGGAGTATATATTTTTGTTGAGTTGGAGACGAAAGAAGATGAGAGAAGAGAACCCGGTTATAGATAGTAGCCAGCTCCAACATAGTCTCTAAGAAACTTTGTAAGAGAAGAATATGAGCCTTACAATAATAAAGTCGTAAATGTCTATAGCTAACTATTTCTATATGAGTTGGCTTTTATACTGCCTGTAGATAACATGGTTATTAGTTACAGTCTATCAGTTGGCTCTACTACTACTCCGTCCGTTCCTGAATATTTGTCCTTTTAGACATTTCAAATGAACTACCACCTACGGATATATATAGACATATTTTAGAGTGTAGATTCACTCATTTTGCTCCGTATATAGCCACTTGTTGAAATATCTAGAAAAACAAATATTTAGAAACGTAGGGAGTATTAAACAAGCTCTAAGTATTCTGTCAGCATGCAAACAAAAACCGACGGGGCAGTGCGGTTCGTGGACCTGGCTTAGATACTCGCATTGATGTCCGGCAACATGCCAGTCCTAAGTGCTAGAGTTTGCCCCGACGATCGCTGAGAGTTAACATGAAGAGGAGGAATGCCTGTATTCAGAAACTTCATGGGACATATTTCTTTCGGGCAAGGAGAGATTAGCCTAGTTTAGCAAACCTAAGCCAAGGAGAGGAGGACGTGACCCGGCACGAGAGGGCGGACCAGTGAAACCAATTGTCTGGCCGGCCCGAATAATTGGTGCGTCTGCATTGAGTGCATGCGAGCAAGAGTTGATGGATCTAGCACCTATAGCTAGCTGCAGCCCGCGTGTTGCATTTCAGCCTAGCTACTTGTTGCGCAGGTGCGTAGTTAATGGGGGAGGAAATGCACTGTACCTCTGTGATGGCGCGGTCGGCCGCTTCACCGCACCACTCCACACCTAGGTTTGGTACTACACACCTAGACCATACTCCTACAAGCCGGTTATCAATTACTACTCTTATTGGGCAGGTCAATTTTTGTGCTTGTGCTTTTCACCAGAAAAACGTTCATTTTTCTAGCTAGGATCAGATGTTATTACGGCACTATTACGCGTATAGGACAGGGGGCTACAGTGTACATAGAGAGTAGGAGTACGTGGTTAACGAAGAAACAAAAAGATCTGGGTGCATGCATGAGCATGACACAGTCACAGTTGTGCACAACTTTGCAATGGAATAGACATGACAGAACAGTACACAATCAGCCAGCAGCGTATATGATGCTATATGTGCGTGGGCCATCCCCACTGGGCACTGGAGCAGCGCATGCAGTCTTACTCGCCAAAGAGTGAGGGGGAGAGTTTAATGTCCCATGCAATTGAATTGAATTAAAACCGGCAAAACTTAGCAGGGAGAGGGACGTGATCGCACCAGAGTTTCTGTCCTCCGCCCTGACTCGGCCTGCCCTGCGCTGCGCCTCTGCCCGCGCCAGCCGTCCCCTCTCGCCCTCGCCCTGCA